GGGGTTCCTCTGGTCTCTCGCCAGTCCAGCAGGTCTGGCCGTTTTCAGGAATTTGAATTTTGTTCTCCATTTTTCTCCCATTCTGTCTGGGACCTTCTGTTGTATCCCTGGTGATAGGTTTATTTCTTAATTACATCAATCCCATGACTCTGAAAAGACTGTTTTGTATTTATAGGAAGAAGAAATGTTTCGTCCAAACATGTTTTTTCTCCTCTTGCTTCCACCTATTATATTTGAGTCAGGATATTCACTGCACAAGGTAAGACTCCAGCACACACTAGTGTTTTGGGTCTGGATGATTCTCCATGTTTGTGAAGGCAAGCTCCTTGCAAGCTTGGGCTTTAATTCCCAGCAGTGGCCTGTGTCTGTTCCTTGTTTTTTCCTGTAAGGTGTATGCTGAAGCTGGACTTCTGGAGGGAAGTAAACACGCTCAGTTGTCTGCTTTAACGCTTCCAGACAGTGTGGTTTATTAGACCAGTGTTTTCCCCAGAGGGGTGCTTTGCCAGAGTACTGGACAGAGTGATTTAAAGTGGTGTACAGACGATATGTTGATTCCGCTTTAGGACACAGACTGACACACAGTAAGAGGACAGACTCTGGCTTGGGATGCAGGGCCATGTGCCCCAGGCCTTTTGCTTCTCCCAGCTCCCCCTGGGGGGCTTTGTCCCCCCTTCACCCCATCTGCCCCTCCGTGTCTTCCCTCTCAGTGCCTTGCCGTGGGCCCTCAGCCCCCAGCCTTCATCGTGCCCGCCCTGCTCCCTGGTCCACCTGCTCTCGCTTGGTGCCATGGTTACCCCTGCTGCTTCCTCTTCACTCCTGGCCCTGGAGCGTGGCACCGCTGACCCCAGCCCAGTGCTGCGCCTTGGTGTTTCCGGTCTCTGCCCTCCAGCTCCAGTGGCCACTCTGCCTCGGGTGCGGGAGCTCCTTGCTTTCCACACTGTGTGTGTGTGTGTGTGTGTGTGTTTTGCCCTTGCCTATGAATTTCCTTTAAATATAAATGTATTTTAAGTTTCAAAGTAAGAAGGTGATTCAACTTAAAATATTAATACAATGGCTGCTTTGTGGTTGTAACATAAAGATTGTGAAGGTAGAAAAGACCAAGGTTTGGCCATGACCTGCGGAGACAGGAGGGAGTCCATAGAGTTTGGGGCAGAGGACGCTAGATCTAATCACACTCCACCCTGTTGATTCCTTTTTGTGGAGCAGAAACTAAATACAAAAAACCCACGAACCCTACTCTGGGGTTTCTTTGAGATTTACAGTAAATGGAAGAAGACATACAAAGCACCCACCACATCAAGTCTAGTCGCGTTTCTCCTCGTTTTAATTAATAATGATACTGTGTATCTATCGTTAAACTCGAGAATTAAATTTATCAAAAGAACTGTGGTTAAAAACGTACAAATCTTTAATTGCCCACCTGGGTACTAAAGCAAAAAGATTCTAAAATGCTCAGCCCAGATTTTTTTAAGAAGTTGTTATGTGTCATTCAGAAGAAAAAGTAAAAAGGAAGTGTAAAGAGAAAATTCCCAAGTCTTAACAAACCATCGCTGACATAATTGTTAAAAGGAAATTGACATAAAAAGGAAACAAGCGAAAAAGAATTGAAAGTCAGCCTCTCTTTCATACTTTCAATCCGTACACAAGTCTTAAAAGAACTGTAAGGAGAAGATTATGAACGTATTTCAAAACAGTACTGAGGAAATTAATTTGGTTTTGACCTGAAAATACAACATTTTGGACATTATACTGGAACATGTAATGTTTTTATAGTCTGTTTTCTTCTGGAGGGAGGAGAGAGAAACTTGGTCAAAATTTGAGGAAAACAATAGTTTCTTAGGAAAACATTTCTTTAAAGATGTCCTTCAGCAGAAAATGTGAAAATATATGTGAAAAGAATTTATGTCAAGTCTGGGAGATACCATGTCAGAGGCTTTGGTCTACTGTCTTCCCTCCCCAGCTGTATAATAACATTTCCACCACTTGTCTGTAAGTTACCATACTGTGGTGGCTTGCATGTTAAAGTGATGCTGGAAGCTAGGCCACCAGTATTTCAGATACCAGCAGGGTCGCCCATGGTGGACAGGTTTCAGTGTAGCTTCCAGACTAAGACAGAGTAGGAAGAAGGATGGGGCCATCCACCTCTGAAAAACATGGCCACTGAAAGGTGTATCCCTTCGCTGTACTTATTCAGTCTGTACACTGAGCAAAAATTCTGAGAAAGTGGACTATATGAAGAGGAACTTGGCATCAGGATCAGAGGAAGACTCATCAACAGCCTGCGATACGCAGATGACACAGCCTTCCTTGCTAAACGTGAAGAGGACTTGAAGCACTTCTGGTGAAGATCCAAGATTGCAGCCTTCAGTCTGGATTACACCTCGATATAAAGGAAACAAAAGTCCTTACAACCAGTAGACAACATCATGATAAATGGAGAAGAGATTGAAATTGTCAGGGATTTCATTTTTCTTGGATCCACAGTCAACACCCATGGAAGCAGCAGTCAGATGATGACGTATTACACTGGGCAACTCTGCTACAAAAACCAAACTCACTGCCGTCCAGTCGGTTCAACTCATAGTGACCTGTCCTTGGGTTTCTGAGGCGGTATCTCTACAGAAGTAGATTGCCCAGTCATCCTTCCAAGGAGTGACTGGTGGATTTGAACTGCCAGCCTTCTGGTTAGCAGTCAAATGCCTTAGGCACTACACCACCAGAGCTGTGAGATATAGATGGAAACATACTTTAATCTGTCATATTTCATGATGATACTAATGGAGTGAAATTAAAAGAC